ACTACCTTGCAGAGCCTGTAGCGAGGTGGGGGTCAGCCTCTTCTCCCTGGTAACGGACAGTAGGACGAGGGGGAATGGTTTGAAGTTGTGCCAAGGCAGGTTTAGGTTAGACATTAGGAAAAACTTCTTCATTGAAAGGGTTGTCAGGCTCTGGAATGGGCTGCCCAGGGAGGTGGTCGAGTCCCCATCCCTGGAGGTATTTAAAAGAAGGATAGACGAGGTGCTTAGGGACGTGGTTTAGTGGTGGGATGGCAGGGTTAGGTTAAAGGTTGGACTCGATGATCTTAAAGGTCTTTTCCAACCAAAGTGATTCTATGATTCTATTTTACTGCAGTTCTCACTGAAATTGCTAGGGTTTGATGCTTTTCTTAGGAGAGGAGCCAGAATGCTTATTTTCTGTGCTAAGGTTGCTGGTACACTCTCTTGAACATTTTCTTAATGTCCAGGGAACGTTCTGTTATGCAAGGGGCAAGGCACTGATTCAAGGTGTTCAAGTTCAAAATGGTCTAGTATCTTAATAAAAAGACACATTTTTAGTTTTACTAATTTTTTGTCAGTAAGGTAAGAAATCTCTCTTAATGGGGAAAGTGGGAGCTTTTCTGTAGACTTTGTGCAGCCTATTAGTGATAATCCTTGTATGTCCTTTTTCTGAATTACAGTTTTTGCTGGAGTTTCTGTCTGTGCCCTCTGGCTTAGACTTTTAGGATGAGGCAGAGGAAATACTTTATTTCAAGGTGTATAAATAAAATATTTTTTCTTTTTCCTAGATTTGATCCTTATGGAAAGAACAAATTCGCAATATGTCGGATTTGTAAGAGTTCTGTTCATCAGCCAGGATCTCACTATTGTCAAGGATGTGCCTATAAAAAAGGTGAGTTTCACTGAGTACCAAATTACCCCAGTTTGGTTTGAAATTAGAGAGCAAGTGGAACTCTTGAATTTGTTTTGCCTTGCAAGAGAAGAGAAGGCTAAGATGAGATTTAATTGCTGTATTCAACTACTAATAGGAACGCCTAGAAAAGATGGAGTCAGACTCTTCTGAGGTGCACAGAAATAGAATAAGAGACAATGTACACAGATTAGGATGTGGAAAAATCTAATTACATACAAGGAAAGTAATTTTCACTGTGAGGGCGGTGAAATGTTGTAACAAGGACCCGTTGAGGTATTCAGAGCTTGATTTGAAAAGCCCTGAGCCAGCCTCATCCAAGTTGGCTGTGTTTTGAGTGGAACAGGGGCAGGACTAGAGACTGCTGGAGATCCTTTCCAACTGAAGTCTTTCTGTGATTCTGCTGCTTTGAGAATGTTTCTGGTATCTAAAGCAGTAGAATCAGAAGAATAACTGTAAGCTTAATCTTGGTAATTACATAGAAAATTGTCATCTAGCAATGATTTTTCTTTGATTTTTCTCAGTTTTAAAAAAACCCCATACTTTGTAAAACTCAATTGCTTGTCCCTTTTCTGCTCTCTTCTCCCCTCACCCCTTTTTATAATAGCTAAATCTAAAAATCTAAATAGTGGTCTTAAACAAAACCCAAAAACAAACCCCCAAACAAAAAACCCACCGGCCCTCAAAACCCACACCCAAAAAAACCAAACAAAAACCCACCCAAACTAAAAATCAAACACCCCAGACCTATCCACCCCCACAAAAAAACCCCACAAAACAACCAAAAATCCAAATTCTGATCTTAGTAAAGAGATAGACTAGCTTAACAAAAATAAAATACCTGGGCAGTAAAAGGCAGAGAGAAGAAAATACGCTGAGTTGTAAAAGCAATTTAGAAAGTGTCTCTGAAGGCAAATCATGCTTATGGTTGTCTTTGTGCCTGCATGTATTCTTACACATTCAGTGGCTTAACAGAAACCATTAAAAGGTACATTTCTCTAAAAGGAGTCTCTGGCCCAGTTGTGAACACACTGATGTGTTGTAAATCAAGCTTGGCTTAAGGTGAAACTGAAAAATGAAAAAGAAGACTATAATCATTGTCCCTAGAAAGCAAGATACTGTGCAGTACATTATATGTAAAATCTTTCTGTACTTACAAGTTATCTGTGAATGACTGTACTGAAATTCTGCTTATACCTGGAAGTTTTCTGTCTCCCATGTTCATAATACATCTTCAGTGTTCTTAAAAACTGTTCAAAAATTCTGGAGGGAGGAAAAAAATCAAGCAAATTTGATGAAGAGCCTTAAGGATATGAAACTTTTATTACGTTTATTTTGAGTAGGTAAGCAAAAGGGCTAAAACTTGTAATTCCTGGAGGGGAAAAAACTCATCATGAACTCATTCACATTATTAATGTGGAGGAATCCACATAGCATACAGACACAGTATGAACCAATTGTTAGATGTAGAGCTACAGCTAACCAGTAGTAAGTTTTGTTTATGAAATTACTTTAATTGTTCTATAAATGTATACTGTATCACTGAGTCAGTGGTTTAGCAGCCTGCTGTAGGAGGGGTGCCTTTTCTGGTTGCTAGATGCTCACCAGATGGCTGACTGAATCCCATATGGTACAACCTTGTTCTCTGTCTTTAACTTATGGCTGGTTTGGGTGGGCTTCAGGATTTTGTCTTCATCTGCTTGTGTATCCTTCCAGGTTGAATCTGATTTCTTCATAAAATTCAGAACGCTAGGTGCTTTAGGTTCTAGTTCTGACTATCAAAGACGTAGTTGTGGCATGTTTCTTGAAGCAAATGCAGTCATATGGCTTAGTGCTTCAACTGTTGCATATCTCTGAAATTGAGAGGCAATCTGAAGTTAATTTAGACCTGAAGTGAATCGCCTGCGGGCTGGATTTTGCTCTCCAAAGTAAATTATGTGGCATGCTCCCTGCTGTTCTCTCTCCTAATGGATTCTCAGATATATGTCCAGTCACATGATGTCAACGTATGAAAGCACACGATTTGGAGAGAGTTAACAGGAGTAGTTGCCACTTGACTTTCTTTTTTTTTTTTTTTTTTTTTTTTTTTTTTGTCTGCTGATGAATGGTCTTCTAAAATGAGATGTGGCCCTACCAGACAGAAGATTTAGCACAGGGAAACACTGAGACAACGCACCCCTCTGCCCCTGCTGATGACTTGCCACTCTTCGGGTTTAGGTCGAAGTCCTCTGAGACATCAGTGGTCATCTTCACTTCAACTTTCAAGTGTTCTTGGTGTCCACTGTTTCTCACTTCTACTATTCTGTAAATAGTAATAGTCTGTAAATAGTAATATTCTGTAAATTCCATGAAACCATATTCTTCTCAACTTTCTCAAATTTCTGAAGCTCCCCACCTGTTAATCTTCCATTTAGCAGTCAGCTTGTTTGGTGACTATACTTTCGTAGCCTAACTGCTTTCTGTCCATCTCAGGCCTCGGTTTGGCTACAGGACTTACAAAGTTTAATAATACATCATTTTTACCTGTTTGCCAAATGGGAGCCTTTCCTGTCTCTCTTCCAGTATTCCAGCAAATTGCAGAGGTTTCAGGCAGTGTTGTGAATCATAATACTCTCAAAATAGAGCTTATTTTTTTTAAGTGGCAATATTACACATATGCTGCAAATACTAATTTGTATTAGAATTCATATTATTACTTCTGAATTTGCAATATCTGGTGAGAAAATGCACAGATAGTCAATAAGGGCTCATTTAAGCAATTTTTTGAGAATTATCTTTACAAAATCATCAACTACGCTTTTGTAGAAAAACTTCAATGATTTTAAAATAATTTACACACCTTTTGTGTGTTTATAGGCATCTGCTCAATGTGTGGCAAGAAGGTCTTGGATACGAAGAACTACAAGCAAACTTCTGTCTAATTGTATTGACTAGTCTTTTTATGAACTTCATCTTCTGTGTCTTTGTACAGTAACTTTTCTCTAAACTCATTTGTGAATATTACTTTCTGGAAGATAATACATTTACTTGGAATGAGATGGGAGGTAAAGACAGCCTGTTTGTTTGCCTAGAAATGTATATAATATTTGATTTTTGTTGTTTTAGCACTAATGTTAACTGATTAATTTAAAGATAATGGTTTGCAGCAACTGATACAGTTCAAAATGAATGAGATCATAGTGGATAGGTTGAAACTATGTTACCGTGATAATAGAGATCTTTGAGATTAACACTCTTTTGCCATATTTTGAGTCTTCTGCTTGTCTGATAGTAATATTTTATAGATGTATAAAATATGAGCTTGTATCACCTCATTAAAGTAGCACTTAAATTTAGTTCTATGCTTACAGGTATTTATAATTACTCTCACATCAAACTATTACGTCCTCCCCTCTAAGTATTGCTCTTCAGATTTGAATGCAATTGTCATGTTGAATTTTGTTTCTGCCTACAGTAGGGTTGGTTAAATCACAAATTGTTAAACTGCTGAAATCTAGTGTGTTACTCTGCTGGTTCGTTCTTTGCCAGTAAGGCTGATTAGCTATTCCCTTGTTAGCATCTAAGAAGGCTTTGGATATGGCATCTTGGTAGCCCAAGGCAATGAAATAATGAGCATCAATTTCTAATGCCAGGTCTCAGTCTCATAATTTTCTAAGTTAGTCTGGCTTTTAAATACTTGGTTTGACACTGGCTCTTGGATTCTGTGATGTGATTGCTTATATACGTGTCAAATTTGAAAGATCAAAACAGGCTGCCTTCTCTTCAGCATTGGTTTGATACAAGACTTGAAGTGAACCTCTCTGAACATGAGAGGCTGAGTGTGGCTCTGCATTTCTTTTGTCCTTTGGTTACTTTCTGCATAAGAAAGCAATTTCTGTTAGGGAGAGTAATAAGTGTTCACTGTGCATGCATTTTAGGGGAAAAGAATGGTACTCTTAATTCATGGGGGGGTTTTAACTAGATCTATTTAAGTGTTTACTCCTCTCAGCAATCTCCTCTTGGCAATCTCTTATGCTTTTGCAACTTTCTTTCAACTGTAACAGAAAAACTATCAATGGGAATTTCCCTATGAATAGGTACTCTGGTTTAGGTTTCCTTTTGTTCTCATATCTGTCACTGAGACAACTGCATGACTAATGGAGACTAAAAAATCGCTGTTCTTTCTGTGTGTTAGTGGGAGAAAATGAATACTGGGGATATAGTTATTCTCTTTGCTCTTAGCTCCTGTCATGCTGCGGTTGCACTGTAAGTAGCCCTCTAAAGGAGGTTGCCTGACATTTCCTGTCACCCTTAACTATCCATTATTGAACATTTGTCACCGAAGTTTCTTGTTCCAAATGTGTTGACATCCTGCAGTTGCTAAATTGGTCATTCTTTTCAGCATTTTATATTTACTAAGCAGCTTTGTCAGGATAGTGGAATGAGCTGGGTCCCCCAAAAGAAGAGAGGAATGCTGCTGCTTTTCATTTTAAAAGCTTCCTTAACAATTAACCTTAACAACTGAATGGAGGTTTGTGGATTAGCTAGCTGGTGATGGTTGGCAGCCTGCAAAGTTATTTGTACATGGTGATGGCCATTTGTTTCCAAATGCATCAAGGAATTCTAGTATTAGTGTACATCTCTATGACACATCCTTTGTATGCATGAAAAGAAAATGTCTATAATTGGCTTCAAGTTTTGCAGCAGATGCTTGTCAGCAGAGCGTGTGGTGATTTCAGGTGGCAGATTCTCTGATACTTTCTTAACTCTTCACCCTTTATGAGAGTGATCTATAAGATAGATTGATTTTTGCTGTTCTGTAAATAAAACTTCTTTCTTGTCTTCCTAAAACTTGCCAGTATCTATTTCAAAAGCATGACTTTGTAATTCTTGAATATGTGGCATGAATTGAATCTTTATTGTGCTCTGTAAATATTGGCACTGAACGAACTCTTACCTCTTTTTGTAACTGATTTAAGAACAACAGGGATTTAAATAATATCTTTTGTTCGTAATTGTTTTGTGGATAGAGCTTTTATGCACCTGTATCCTATTATGGGCAGCTGCTTTTGCATGTTAGAATGTATTTTTGTTGGAAAAGGAGACAGGTTTTAGGTTTGTTCTTTTTTTTTTAATAGTGGATACAAACAATGGTTTGTTATTCTAGTGTTTTGTGCATGCTTGGGATCTTCCATCTGTAGCTCTCAAACCTTCTTAGCCTCATGAGAGATTCAGTTCCTGAGATCTGTAAAATCTTCTGATGTAACAGTCAACTTTCAGAAAAGCCTGTTTTACAAGCATTGTTTTGGAGACACATTGCTTTAAATTTAGATTACAAGCCCTCTCCTGCAACTCTGAGATGCACCACAGTTCAAGGCAATCTTGGCAAAGAAGCACTTAAACTTATGTACACCTTCAGTATGATTGATTGTCATATAAAAGCATTTTTGTTGATACTAAAAATGTCTTATTAGCATGGGACGCCTTTCCTGAGACATTATGCAGTGAAAAACAAAAGAAAATCTGTAATGGAAAAGTTGCCATTTTTGTTTAATGTACTGAGAAGAACACATTAATGTTCCCAGATGATCAGACTGTCCTCTAAATCACAGGTTACGTAAGAGTTTTGTACTGCCAAATTTAGTAGGATTAGAATTTTCCTCAGTACTGCTGAATTCCTATACTGTCCTTGCTGTTTCTGTGTGTTCATTGGCCAGAGCTCTTACTGAGCTCAGTATAAGCAACATTTTGATGCAGATTATTGAGAGAAAAGAACAGATTAGCTATAAAAATGTTACTGTGCCTGTAGCAGCCAGTCAGATGAAAATTGAACAGGAACTGTTGAAGGGTCCTTGTATCAGGGTGTTCTCACATTCTTCCCCATGTTGGTTTTTTTGTTTGTTTGTTTTTGTTTGATTTTTTTTTTTTTTTTTTAACCCTGTTCTTTCTGCTGCAGAATCTGGAGAAAGGACCATCCAGGATAGTCATCTAGCAATACTGTTCCAAGGCATTAGTGCTATTTTAATTGTTTACTTGTATAAATGTGGCCTTTTTTCCCCTGTTAGGTTTATTCTGTTCCTTCATTATCAGAAGGATAGCAAGAAAGACTTTCTTATATACAGGGATGTCACTGACTATTTTGCGTTCAGTTTTTCTTGAGACTGGCCCAGACTTGCACCAAAATCTCTTATTTAGCAAAATAAGACATGTACAGGTTTCAGATGGTAAATCTGTTGCACTTAAATGCTTGTTCTGGTATCACTCCTATCATCAGCCCATCTCTCTGCAGTGCTTCAGATTGCACAAGTATTCCAGTTCTGTACTAGCTGAGCATTGCTCTACCCAGAGACGCTTAGGCCAGAACCCTCTACCAATCTCACTGTCATAAATTCTGGGCAAGAATGACTGATGCCTTTGTATTATCAGTGGATGTAAGAGGTATGTGCAAAAAATAAAGAACAATAGATTGAATTAAGCAGCTGCTCGAAGTAGTGCAATGAACCATGTTGCTATATTTTCCTAATACAAAGCTGTAAGTTTTCCAGACGCAGAAAGAATCCTCAACATGAAAGATTCATTATTCATTGAAAGACAGTAAGCCAAGAGTAGGAGCTATGGCTCTTTACATGTGGTATGGCAAAACTTAGTTTGTGATAGGGCTTCTCCACTGAGAATAAGATTTTGGGGGCTAATAAAGTCTTAATAAACCCCCCTCAGACAAGTCATTGTTTTCCCTGGTTTGGAACTGGGCTTCCTGATCTCCTGTAAGTATATATGGCCTAAAGATGCATCCCTTTCTGTCAAATGCTTTAGATGTTGGAGAATCCAAGAGTGGTTTTGGGGGTGTTGCTGCTCAGTCCCTGACTTACTGGTTGCTTAATAGAACTATCTGTTCAGTGAGCACTGTTTCAGCATGGGATCATGCAGGTATATCTTTTGCTTACAGTATCTTACCAGATCACTGGTTTAGAAAAAAAAAATGTGGCAGGGTGCAAAACGGAATACTGGTGACAGGAAAACTCGCCCTGAGTATCATGAGAGAATGAACACATTGCCGCATCACAGCTGAGGTTTGCTATTAAGCAAAAATATTTTTGCTCTCCCAGTCAGCAGAACTGGTTGGACAATCTGATAAGGCATGATGACAGCCCTTACAAATAACAGACCCAAATGTTTCTTTTAGTGAGGATTATAAATGTGCCTCATGTAGAAGACTGGTTGGTTTTGAACTGCTTGTCTGCCTCACAGACTTGTGATTTTGTGGAAGAAGTTATAATCTGAAATTAATCAGAAACTGATTTTTCATTAGCTTTTATGGATGGGGGCCATAGTTCGTTCGCAGAACTTGCATGAGGTATACATGTGTTCATCATGTCTGGCTAACGCCTGCAGAAAACGTTCTCTGAGAGTTCTCTGCTGACAAGGAGTGCTTACTTCACCCACTTAAGGGCAACAGGAACAGATGTGTTGAAGGGACCTGGAAGAATTTGTTTGAAATCTTGCCAAGAAAATGAAGGAAGAACTGAGTGGAGTATTCTCCATGAGGCATTGCTGATAAAAATTGTTCTCTTACATGGTTCACAAAGACACTTCTGACACTTTTTTTTTTTTTTTTTTGCCTTGCTGTCATTCATTTGTGAAAAATAGCAAGTGGATTTTTCAGGCACCACTGAACTGATGGCCAAATCACTACCTAATTAAGCAGACATTTCCAGATTGTCTTTCTAGTAAAAAACCTTTAGAAACTATTCCTCTTTCCTTTCTGTCTCTTTCTTTGCGCTGAAGGATGCAGACTGAAATTAAAGATTTTAGTGATTCATTAAGCATAAGTACTTCCAGCAAATCCAATTAACTATATATGCTTGTCTGCCAAGTGGTATTGGGAAAACAAATGCTGAGTGGTGGGGGTTTTTTTCTGCATCATCATGGTTATGATGATTAAATATCAGTATTGTTAACTGTTTCAAGTCACATGCAAACACACGGAACTCACAGTTGCCATTTTCTCCTGGCTAATGGGTCTCTCACAAGCATCTTAAAATTATCAGTCCAGTCTTCAGGAAATCACTCCTTGCTGTTAATTTTCTGTTATTCCTTTTGCTGCTGTAGAAGGTAAAGATTTTAAGTTTGTACAGCTCCCAGATTGTGTCATGGACACTTACTGTTCTGATATGTTTACTAATGTTCAGTAACACATTAGTGCGACTGAGATGATGTGTGACAAAAGGCATGGCTCTCAGGGAGCTGGCGTCTAGCCCAGTCCAATTGTCATCTTTTATTGATTAAAATATTTAAATGCAAATTGCATTAAGCAAAGACTTTACTCTGCCGTCTTAAATCTCTGTCTTTCTATGGAAGGCTTTTGATAAAAGCAATGATGTGACATTTCAGTGATGAATAGCTTCCTTTTATGGCTTCCAAAATGATTGTTTCCTAAAGGATGGGAAGTAAGCAAAAGTGATATAAGGGAAGGGTTATCTATAGATTTTCAGATTTGTTTTGTTTTCAGGTAGTAGTCCCTATTTATTAGAGTTTCATAGAAATCTTTGAAAGTTCAGGCATATTTTGTGTATACAGCAGTGTCAGCCTGAATTTGAAGAGAGCCTGAAGCAGTGACTGAGAGATTAGTTCCTCTAAGCTTAAAATAGATCCTTGTTTGGATAGTGAGATATTAGTAACATTAATTGCTGCTGTTCTCAACAGAACACATAAAATCCAAATTCGGAAGCTCACCAAAGTGGCATATTTCCCAGCCTAGGTTAGGAACAGCGGACCGATAAGTAGATCAGTATGGATTTACATAGACTTGGGAGGGCTGCAGCGAAGAAGGGGGGGCATCATGCGCTCGTTTCATGTGGCATCCTGCAGTGCTGTTGTGGAGGCCTCTGGCAGAGAGGTTCCATGTGCCTACCTGGGTGGTAGCTAAGAAAAAAAGTGTTTGCTAGTGAGGGCAGCAGAATTCAGGCTTTAGGAGTCAAAGTGTTCAAATTTAATGTCTCGCAGATTCTAAACCATTACAAATAGTGAACTGTGTGAGTGAATCTTTGAAGCTTCTAGGAAAACGCTGTAGAGAAGAGCGAAAGCAATTGATTTCTTATGACTTGGCTGATAGTACTCACTCCTGATTATTTCTGTTTTGCCCAGATTTCCTGTTGTAACTACCTCTCTGCACCTGGCTAACATACAAGCATATGGCATTGCTTAACTTTAAGTGCAGCATTGATAGTTGCACTGAGGAAAAAAATAGACAACCAGGCGTTATAGTATATGAAGGAAAAAAAACCCAGGTTCTCAAGACTGTCAGATACATTCATTATGAAGAGAAAACTTTTAAATTTTTTTTATCCAGCTAAATTAGAAACAAATGATCATACAAATATTAAGGATATAAACTAGCTTGAAATCTCCATGCCTTTTTATTCTATAAAAGATTTCTGTATTGGATTTTTTTTTCAGAAACAGCTGGGTGCCAGGGACAATTTTTTTTCAAGGTTAAGCTTGTTTAAGCAAATAATTAAAAGTTTCAAATCCTGACTATATATGGCAAGGTCATGAAGATTGTTTGGAGGTGAATGTAGCCAGGTTTTGACAAGTGTGTCTGTCACACGCTAGCTGTGCAAGGCAATTTTATAAAGACTGCTCTACCATAAAGTGCCATATGCTTTGGCTTTATTCCTGCCTTTATATTCATAATGAAAAAATCAATGTTTAGATCGAGGGAGGAAATTGTAGTACTAGCAACAGTAAAAGTGTGGGGAGCACAAGCGCACGCTGCTGTCATTGAGCGCTTGGTAAGCATTGCTTTTCCCTCACAATGCTGTGCAAGGTAGATAAATACAAACCATTCAGCTGATTTGTCCAAGGCTGCTGAGGAAGTTGGTGTCAGGTTGGGGTTAGAACTCATTTTAAAATAAGTGACCTATGTAGATTGCTAGGAGATGGCTTGCATGTGTGTGTCTGTGTGTAATGCTTTCAATGCCTGTATGACCAGGGCAGACTAAGACAAGAGTTTGACACAAAGATCCCTTTAATGAAAGAGTTAGTTCATTTGGAAAACAAATAGAGCATAGTTTTCATACAGGATTTTTTTCCCTTCAGGTCCATTGAAACAGTTTTCCATAACATTTTATGTGTGTGTATGTGGCTGTAAGTTTCATCACCAACTTCGGGCTATACTCCTCTTTTATTTGTGTAAACACTTTCTCTGTATAATTGTTTGGTTTTCAGCATTGATTAAAGTTAGGCATTGAACATTTCATACATAATACTGTCAGTTTAACTTGTTCTTACTTGGAGACCTATGGGTTATGATACATTACCCCAATTCTGCCAAAGATTAAGGCATATCCAGGATGTTGCAGGACAGTGGTTTCTCAAGACAATGGGTCAACAGGATTATAGTGCATTGAGGAACACACAACTGTGTCTCCAAGTACGTTTGCATGTGAGAAAAGTTGTATGTATAAAATCAGTAAAACTAAGAATGCTGAAGAAAGGGCAGCTATTAAAATAAAAATAATCCGATAGGAAAAAACCCAAACATCTACAGAACTTTTGATTCAAATTCAGGTTAACAGTCAGATTTTGCCACTCTTCTTGATGTGGAAGAGTATCTTTTCCTCTAAGTATGGCTCCTAGTTTGGTTCAGAGTTGCAAATATTTAAAGGTAGTTAGGGACCTAATTCCCATTGAAGTGGTTTCACTGAGAATGGGTGCTCACATCAAACTGTGTAATAAGGTACAGCACAGAATGAATAAGGTACAAAATGTGGCATATTAGTAACGGTATATAAAAATGTCACTTGTTCCGTCTAATTTGCTGTTACTGCAGGTTTATTTCCAATAAAGCTTTAATAAAAATTCAGTTTGCTACTATCAGGTAAATAGAAATACAATGGCAGCTGATCTTTTCCCTATGCATAAGGATCTGGAAAGACTGTTTGATCCCAGAGATCTTAAGAAACAGCATTGTGTTACCTTGTTGGTTCTGTATTCCCTTCAAAAAGTGGCAAACAGGACTTCCGAGCTGTAATTTCCAGCTAGCGATAAATAAATTACCTTCTCAGGAGGAACGAGGCAGCCTGTTAACTGATGATTGAGCATTTTCCATGTATCAGAACAGGTTGATAGTGCAGTACTGACTTACTCTATTATTTTAAGTTGCATGGTATATCATTGCATGATACATACAGTATATCATCCAACCCTTTTCCAGTCCATCCTAGGAAATTGGTTTAGTTTAAGGAAAAGGATTAAAAATACTTTTTGAGGGCTCAGCAAAACAGCTTTGTCCTCCTCTTTGAATCCTGCAGAAGGCTATGCAACACTTCTATGTATTTGAGAGGCCTAATTTCAGGATGTAGAAACATTCGTGCAGAGGAAAGGGGCAGTTCTGGAGAAGAACGTCTCTCTGCAGCCACTTATCCATATTTCATCATAGCCCACTTAATGAAATTTCTGCTAATGACTTTTAGGAATGGGCACATAATTGCTTTGCTGTTTTTCCAGTGGGCTATGACTTCCAAAGGGTAGCTTTCCAGACAGCAGTTTCTGAAGTACTGTGGCATGCTTGTCTTGCCATGCCAGCTAGGAATTTTAGCTTGTACCCTAATTCTGCCAGCCAGAAAAGATCGAGGACAGTATGGAAGCAGATTACATCAATTTTGTGCCTCTGGCTGTTCATAGGGGGAATGCTGGCTGGGGAGACCTGTATTGGGTTTGTGGGTTTGGGTTTGGTTTTTTTTTTTGATCAAAGCATCTTTTGGGAAGTAACCCATAGAATCCTTTGAAATGGGACAGAATCCTCAGGAGCAAGGATTAAGGGTCTGTATCCTCAAAGGTGTGTGGTCATCCAGCTCTTACTGAAATCTGGGTAATGCCTGAGTATCTTCGGGAATATGTTGTCAAGTTTGTCTTCTGTAGGCTTTGTTAGTAGTTGGGATGAGCTGGTTTCATTTTGATTTCTTGTGTGGGGATGAGTAGGTAATTTTAGATTCTGGCTAGTAAAACGTTACAGTGGCATTATGCTGCAAACAGTGAGAGAACACCTTGTCTGGCTTTTGTTGGGTTGCTATGAATTAAATACTTTTATCCTTTAGCAAGAATTTCAGGAGACTGCAAGGTGCTAACAAGAAGTGCGAAAAAAGCTGTGAAATAGCTGTTTCTCTTGTACAGATTCTCCAAACATACCACACATGGTAATCAGTGTCTGGCAATTGTTTTTACTGTTAGTGCTGTCAAACTGATTCGGAATATATTTCCATTTAATTCTTGATCAGCATGAGAAAATTCTTCCTTGGATTTTGGATCTTCTTGCAAGACTGTAAGAATAATGCTGGTGACTGTCCTGCTGTTGGTCAGCACTGAGCAATACCATGCGTATGTGTCCACATAGTGATTTGTTAAATGTTCAACCTTTGTTTAATATTCTAAAATATTATATGCCTGGATAAAAGTTCACAGGAGTATCATTCTTAACTTCTGAGAACAGCTCTGAAATGAACTGCTGTTTTTCAGTAGTCAATATTTAAACATACTTCAGTTAATCAGAAAATCAATGTATCAGCCACTGTGTATTCCTCTTCCCTATAAGAACTATCTGCCTTTTATCTCTAGAACGGAGTTCACGGAGGAAATCTGGCTGAAGACATGTTCCTCCTCTTCATCTTGGGAACTTGATACCTAGCAACTTTTAGGTGTTAAGACACAGCTTAGGTAGCTTCTCACTCAGATTGTTGCTTTTTGAGGATCTCATCCCAGCCAATGCCACACAGGTTTTTGTGCAGGAGAGCTGCAGTGCCAGTCTCAAGGCTGAAGATTGCATTGCACATGAGTTGGCCTAACAGCGAAGCCCTGGAACACCGATGTCTCTTTTGGGGAGCCAGCTGCAAATGACTTCACCAAGGTCATGGCATCTGGGTCATTTAAAAAATCAGCTTCAGGAGCTGGCTCAAAATCTCCCCTAAAATCTCCCAAAAGGGAGATGACAGTAATACACTGGGACAGTGTAACTCTTCCTGACACAGCAGGCACTATGCTTGAACACCAGCGATTATGTTACTTCTACAACTGTGGGCACCCCAGCAGGTTTCAGAGCTTCAGTGACTGTAAGAGCAGTCTGTTTCATAAACTGCTCTTAAACTAGAGGAAGAAAAGTAGGATCTTGCAAACCCTATTGTTCCTGCCAGTACTTGTGAAGTAACATTGAGATGGTCCTCCTCCAGGTACACACCATCAAATTCTGACACCAAGTAACTGAGCTCTTGTGCTAGAAGCATTTCTTCAATGCTTTGGAGAGCCAGTAAGTGTAGTGCAAATGAGGAGTACTGGGCTGGCAGCTCTAAAGTTCTGAGTATTTAAAAAGGTGTTATCCTGACTACTAGTGAATATAAATGATTGCACACCACCATATGTAATCTGATTAAAAATGACTTACACATCCAGGCCTGTTTATAATATCTTGTATACTAGTTACCATTACTATATTATTCTTTTCAGAATTCTCTCTCAAAATATTTGAGTTTGTTTGGGGTTTTTTTTGTAATACTCAGCTGCTATTGCAGCTTAGATTATGTGGCTGTTATGGCAGTTCTGGGGTGCATTCAAAGAAGGCATTAGGGACTCCCAGTCCTATTAGCATAAGCCAGTGAAGTACATGCCTCACATCCTGTGGTTTGGCTATGGTTGAACTGATTTGCTCCTCCCCTCCAGCCCAGTCTTTTGTCAGGCTGGAGTTACACTAGGACCCACTTATTTAATACATGTAGTTTATAAATGTGGTTACAATCTTCTATGGTTAGCATATGAAAACATCTGCTTTTTCTGTGTGACATCTGTCAGCCAACACAAGGAGATCATGTTTTACCAGTGTGATCTATTTCCAGTGCATTATCAGCCTTGCTATCACAGTTATAAAGCAACCTCCAATATCACAGGGCGTT